ATGCAGTGAGTTGAAAACAGAAGCGAATGCTTCTGATCTCTTGTCGGTGCCTAATGGGACCCTAAGATCATGATCAGCAGTGGTTTTATTATTGCATCCCGACTTGGTCAGTGAGTGAATGGGAAGGTCTGTTTGCTCTTTGGATTCCAGTTTTTCTTGATTAGGAATGTAACAGTGGCAGATAAAAGAAGAAGAAAAAATACTGCCATTGTATACTACAGCAGTGAACAGGAACCATTTTTAAAGCATGGCTATAAACCCTAAAACTAATTGTGGGTGAAGGGTACCAGGTTCTGTTTTACTTTTATTTATGATTTATTGTTTGACTTTATTTTGTTCTTCGGAGTTTCTATATTTTAAGTGTCGAACTGTGCATAAACTCTTTCTATTTTCTTTCCCCCTGCAGGGACGAACTAATTGTCTGACAGACTCAAGAGCTCTGAGTGCCAGTCACACTGATTTGGCCCACTGAGGTAGTGGGACTGATGCTAGCTTAAAAAAAAATCCCTTGTGAGTTATGAAGCACTGAGGTTCACAGTTTTCTGGGTTCCCCATCACTGTCTTTGTAGAACTGTGTAAGTTAGAGACTTCATTGGATGGACTCGTGTTTCTAGACCTTAAAGGAAGTGGCATTGTCAAGAATCCTAGCAATAAGGACTAGCTTCTTTATGAGAAATACTCATTGTTGCACCATTGCAAGTTACCTGGAATTATGTTACAGATATAATTATTGAGGTGTTCCGAAAGCAGAGGAGGGGGAACCTACAAAATAGAAAATGTACTGAAATCTAAGAGTACAAATGCATTTTGGGACATATGCTGTTCTAAAAACTGTTACAAGGAGTGTGTGTTAGTAGCTATTTATAAAGTTTGTGGAATGGGATAGAGCTATGCTAAGTTTATCACTGTATAAATTCAGGATTGTGTAAGATGAAGGCTTGTTTGATCATGGACCTTTGCTGGCATAAATCACTAGCAATTAGGGCTTCATAGCCTTGAAGCTAGTAGAGCAAGATACTAATACCTTAGAATGGAATGGCTTTAGATATCACTTCAGAGTGTGGCACTTTGTAACTGATCACTTGTGGCCTTCCAGGGCCTAAAAGTCAATGGAAATAATGCAGTCCACGTTAACCTTTGGAAGGGAAGAACACAGGAAATAGTCTTTAAAGCAACCAGCTTTTAAGTCTTTTGCTAGTCACTTAAGCACTCCATTCTCTCTCCCTGCTGAAAATCTTGTCATCACTTGGCTTTGTTCACAATGAGAATAAGAGGAAATAAAGCATACCTTTCACATGTGAGGTAGCTGCGGTGCAAAGAGGCCTTATGAGGAACCTCGGTATTAAAATGGCCAAAGTGAAGAAGCCCTGCCACTGAAAGGCTTTTTCTTAATTAGCCATTTGCTTAACATACACTTGGTTGACGCACTGGCTGTTTTTAGGGGACCAGAGTAAACTATTCAGCATTTGGTTTTTCACTCTGATGGAATGTATGCAATTTTCAAATCTGTCTCCATTTTACAAAGCTGCTGATTGCAAATCATAGTGATAAAGTAGAAGTTAATTCAGTGGCCAGTAGAAGGATAAAATAACATTAATCTCATTTATGAGCTAAACATGGTCAGTTTATTAAATTGGGCCACAGGGATTCAGTATCACTAAAAGTACTTGCTAGTTTTGAAAATCTTGTTTTTTAAAAACAAGAAACTTTTAACGGAATGTATCTGATTAAGGTTGGTTCACTCAGGTGTACTCATTTAAACAATAAGGAGGCTCTTTGTAAATATGAGATAATTATACCTTGCACATTTGTAATGCTGGTCTTAATAATCTTCTGTTAAATTTGGTTCTGCATACAAACTAGTTTTGGAAAGCCAGTGGACTAGAGTAACAGAACCCAAACTGGATATTAAAGTACATGCACTCCATCTCTAAATTTTAGGTAAGCCTAGGCAATATCAAGTATCATTAACCACGGTTTATTTATCACCACATAATTTTCATTAATTGTGTCTGCATTTGTTATGCCTGCTATGAAATGTGACTCTGTCTGCCGACAGACCTTCCAGTCCTTTGTCCTTCCAGTGCATTTTCAGAAAAATTGTACATCTGAAAACCCTGTGGAAAGCTAAATTCTTGAAAAAATACTGTTATAATCTGGATGTGACACCGATACAGACTCCTGATAGAATTTCAGATGCTTCAGGACTTGTTGACAAACACACCATACTAAACATATTGTATATAATAAGACTGTAGATTTCTATTAGCATGTCAAAATTATTAGGCTAATAATTGTTTTTACAAATTGGACTATGCATTAGAGAAATGGGGAAAAGCCTCCTAGAAGATTCCACACCAGTTTCTTTCTTACCAGTTTAAAACAACATTTATTTGGAAAAGATGCAGGAGTACAGTTACAAGTGCATCAGGAAACCTGCCAACAGGAAAATTATTTTGCTGCACATCTCTATATGCCATTTAAAAAATTAATAATTTAAACTTATCTGTCAGATTTATAGAAATTGTATAGTCGTTTAACCTGTCATATAAGAATTAAAGAAGTTTGGTTGACTTGAAAATATGCATACTTGCAAGAGAGATGGGTCAAGGAAAATGCCGTACTGCTTTCCATTTCCATCCTGAGTGCTATACTAGTGCAACAGAGGAAGCAATGGTGTAATTCAGTGGAGTTGCAGCAGCATTATGTGGCAAGTGCATCCCACTAGAAGTACTTTTTTTTATCTGAAGCATTTAAAACTGTGCCAGTGACTTACAATGTACAGTGGTGCCTTGCTTGACGATGTTAATTCATTCCAGCGAAATCACTGTAGAGCGAAAACATCATCAAACGAAATTTAAAAACCCGTTGAAACGCATTGAAAACTGTTCAATGCATTCCAATGGGCTGAATACCTGCTCATCCAGCGAAGATCCTCCATATGGCGGCCATTTTCGGTGCCTGTAAAGTTAGGAATCTATCCTAGAAAACAGCGGGGAGGCATTTTCTTCAGCCGGCAGCCATTTTGAAACCTGACAATCAGCTGTTTGCTGATCGTCATAAAGCGAAAATTGGTTCCCCAAGCAGGGAACCGATCAACGTTAAACGAAAAAAACCCATTTAAGCCATCATTTTGCGATCACAAAAGTGATTGCAAAAACCTAATCGTACAGTGATTTCCTCGTTAAGCGAGGCACCACTGTAGTTGTTTCAAGATAACAAATATTTTTTAGACAAGACCATGATGGCTTTGATGGTTAGTAGTAGCATCGCCTGGCCAACCTTGCAAATGCAGCTTCAAGTCAGTAGCTATGTTGTGACACACAAATGTACATGCAGTTTATTTAAACAGGTTGTAAAGACTCATTGCTTATAAAAACTCCTGTGGTCCTATGAACAAATTGCACCCAATCTGATCCAGTGATGTAGCAACTGTTAGGACTACATTTTTCAGCAGTCCCGATCACTTTATTTGGTGATACGTTCTTGAAAAAAGAATTTTAGAGCAGGTTTCTTATTTTGTACAACTGATCATAGATGAAAGTATGACATCTGCCACACATTTTTCAAATTCCAGTAGAATCTTGTGCACTAAAGTAATCTCAGCTTGATATTGTGCAAGAGGGGTACATATTTAGTAGACTGGGATACTTACCTGTTTGCAGGAACCTCCCATAATGGATGAAAGTGGTTTGTTTGTTTTTTGGAAACATTACCTCATCAATTCCACGGATGGCTGCTTTTGTTTCTCCAGTAGACCTCTTGTTTTGAGTATGTTTATGTATCATAACTGATGGAATTGTGGCTGCGAATTAGTGTTGAGTTATTTCCAGTTGGAATAATAGGAGGAATCCAGTGATGTCTGCCAATGGAAGAGAATCTACTCCCCCTTGCCCTCCTCTGGAGCACTTTGTTTGTTTTCCATAATCCAGTCAATTGTGAAATTTTGGGGAATAGATTTTGGTGGTTTCGGGGGGAGGAAGGAAAAGTCACATCCACTTGAATTATATTAGGTTCTTTTTGCTACAAAGCTTAATCTGTTTCTCCTGAGCAACTGTGTGAAAGATTGCAATCAAAACATGCATTTTAACCCAAGTAGTGATGCTAATCCAAAAATTTCTTGGGAACTGTAACTCTAACACCATAAATTTTGACAACTTAGAACTAGAACCATACATGTAATTATTATCTTAAACTGTCTAGCATGATGGTGTATAAGCTCTTTTATGTGTCATCAAATTAATCCCAATTTATGGCAATTCTTTCTAGGGTATTCTAAGTACAGAATATTTAGAAGTGGTTTGCCTTCCCTTCTACAGGGTTGCCCATGTGTAAAATCCCTTAGAAAAGGAATTGCACATGGACTGTCATTGGTAGAGAACTTGTTCACCCGGTGTCTTGGAAATAAATGACTTGTACACTTTTAAACTGTTTGGAATTATTGAGCAGTGTAGATTTTTGAGAGAAAGTTCTTTAAACAGGAGCAAGCAAGAATTTTTTAAAAAGGCAACTCACATGATTTTTCTTAAAGGGTTTTCTCCAAGTAGAACACTTGGAAAAGTTAAATTGAAAGCAGATATTAAATAAGAAATCAATCCAGCAAGCCCTAATGCAAGCCTGTAAGCTGTTTGTACAAAGCTGAAGCCGGTAGCACTGAAATATGTATAGGTTGCACTGAATTTCTGCCAGCGTTTGCGAATCGTCGTTTCACAAGGGGCTAATGAGAACACGCAATTATTTAAAAGATGCAAACAATGAGGCTGGAAAATTTGAGGGTTGCAGTGAATAAAGCTGCAGGATTCCACTGACTTTGGAATATGAAGTATGGTTATATTGTACATGTGGAAAATGGAATGTGCAGTGCTTTTCTGAAATTGTTTACAATGTAAATTTGAAACACATACATTTGTTAACTAGGCCACTTGTGCTTTTTTCTTTTTGAAAGCTGCTATTTTGCATTCAAAGAACATCAAAGGTATACTTGATACAAAGTATCCCGCTATGTCACAACTTGTATACTTCAGTGAAGCCCATGAATATTTCCTTATACAAAAGCAGAACTTGTATTTCATGCCGTTACTAAATTCTAATTCTAGATTCCGATTAAAATGTACAGATACCTTGTCATACTAGAGTAGAGATGCATTGTCAAGAAATGCCAGCTATGGCGAAAAATAGCAGAAAGAGTACAGTTGATTTAAGTCATGTATAACATGCAAAGTTCCGACAGTTCTAATCTGTGCCTCTCCTCCTGCACCTGACATTGTAATGCAGCTGACAGAGAGCATGTTATGATGTCAGGAAATCCAGGCAAAGTGTATTACAGAGTTAATGGCTATAGATCACACTAGAATAGGCTCATTGAATCAATGGAACTTACAGAGTTGACTTCCCAAATCCCCATTCATTTAGTGAGCTTACTTTAGTGTGATTTACTACACTAAGCAACAGATTTTTTGCTATTATCTGAGTACAGAAGCAGTTTTCACACAGTTGCACTTTTTAACTCGTTTATCTCTAAAAATTGTGATAGCTGAAATCTGCTTTAAAGCATTGAAGCTGCCCGAATGTTAATAAGGGAGCAGGATATTTTAGAAAGGCACATAACTGATTGGATGGCCCATCCCTCAGCTTTATATTGGAAGTCTCCTAAAAAGGGAAATCAGATAAAATTATTTAAATACTTCAGAATGACTAAGGATTTTATATATTAATTTTCATCCATTAATTTTGAGCTGCTTTTTTTAAAAAAAAAATCCTTTCTTACAGAAAATAAAATTGTTTTCCACTTTTATAGAGAAGGTCTGTAATTAAGCCATTGACTGCGGAAAAGTTTTTAAATTTTTTAGTTCTGGATTTTTTAATATTACTGTGCTGCCAACGTGCTACTTTTGTTCCCCAGATACACTTTTATTCGTAAAGCAGCATTAGAACATAGGACAAAATACGGCATAATGCTACTTGTTCAAACAGTAATCTTGTTCAAGAAAGGTATAGCAAGTTTATATTAAATGATTCCTGGGGAGGCGGAGATCTGTTAGAGACCTGTGGTCTGTTATGAAACTGTTTTAACATGTAGAGCTTCCTTGGCATTTCCAAGTTATAAAAATAAAATACTGAAACAAGCATACAACTGTACAGTGGTGTTGTTTTTATGTGTCTTAGTGTTGTGTATACATTTATGGGGAGTGAGCGAGGATGCAGTTAATCCATGGTTGGATATTTTTGTAAACAAACTCAGAAAATCTAAAGCAATGTAAAAGAGAATGTGTCTGTGACTTTATTATGTAAGCCAGTGTTCTGAATGTGCAAGTGACCCGTGCAAAAGTTTAATTAGTGCAGAATTCTACTCTGAAACTAGTAAAATGTTGGATTGAAATAATTGATTCTCATTTACAAACTTTAAATTCACGATCAGGTGAAACTAAAAGAAAATTGATTTACAGCACTAGCTCTCTCAGGCTAAAGAGCTCTTTGTTACATTTAAGTTAAATGCCACAGATATAGTTACAAAACCTATATTTGATTTATGTGGAAAATATTTAGATTTCTACTTCATTCTTTTTTATGACGTCAAAGGACTAATCAAGTGTAAGGATGTGTCATCAGAGGCCAAGATCATCCATACTGTTGTTCCTAATGACTATGTATTGATCTCCTTTTGGAGATCTCTCGTTCAGTCAAAAGTGACTTGATAGGATGTAACGACATTGCTGAAAAACATTATGAACTTCAGTATCTCATAACTGACCTGAAAGTGAAAACTAGAACATTATAGGTGGTTTGATTTTTGTGAGCAGTCCAATCATAAGCACCAATGAAATAAGCACCAATGAAATGTCACTTCAGAGGTCTTGGAGTCTTGTGCAATTGCTATGATAGTGCTAGTTTGAAATTAAATGTATTTTGTCAGCAACTAATACATTTTAGTGTGAGAATACAACCATTTCTCTCCCATTTGGTATTGCCAGTGGGATATAAGGAAAACCCAAATGCAGATAACCAGCAACAATACTGAAACTATTAAAAGCTTGGGTGACTAAGGCAGATAGCATGGCATCCAGAAGGCAAAACTTGGTAGTGACAGAACTCTCCAACCAGGGGTGCCTGACTAAGACTTCTATTAATTTTTCACCTAACGAAGGCAGGAAGACTTACAGAAAGTCCTCCAGTCTTGTAACAAGTTCAAATAGACTTCTTTCTCAGTATTGCTTGGAATTAATGTGAAATTGGAGGCTCGGAGCATTGCCAGAAACTATAAAGGCAACAACATTGAAAACATTAAAGCCATTTACTAAGCTGATCTGTTAAGTCAACTTTTTTCTAGAAAGCTGTCATGTCTGACTTCAAAGAGCTCACCATTTCCCCCCTTTTCTGTCAAGATGTTTGCTTACTGTTGTAAATATGTAACAATTTACACATTTACTTGCTTACTACACTGTAGAAGGAAGGAGTGCAAGAAGCAGACTAGCTGCAGGCTGCTGTTCCATAGAGATTACAGTGATGCCTCGCATAGCAATCGCTCTGTTTAGCGACGAATTCGCTTAGTGATGCATTTTTTGCGATCGCTTTGTGATGTTCCCTACTGTATGGGGGAATTTCCCTTTGTGATGATCGGTTCCCTGCTTCAGAAACCAAGCATCGCAAAGCGACAATTTTAAAACAGCTGATCGGCGGTTTCAAAATGGCCACTGGGTAAACAAAATGCCCGCCCGCTGTTTTCTGGGATGGATTCCTCGCTTAAGAGGCACTAGAAATGGCCGCGCTATGGAGGATCTTCGCTGAACTGTGAGTTTTAAGCCCATAGGAATGCATTAATCGCGTTTTAATGTGTATCTATGGGCTTTTTTATTTCACATTGTGACATTTTCGTTCTGCAGCGATTTTTGCGGAATGAATTAATGTCGCAGTGCGAGGCACCACTGTACAGTCAACACAGTGGTGTTACCATCTAATAGCTATTTGTTGCTGTCATTTTCCATCCAGGTTACAACCAAGACTGAGTGAATTGAAAGCGATTCTACTGCAGCAATGTCATCGTAGTCAAATAAGATGGCACTGTGGTATGAATAACTTCAGGATTTCTTTTTTTTAAATGGGATGGCTTTATTTGTATAAGAAATAGAAGGAATATTGCTTCACAGCTTTCTCCGTTATTACATCTGTATGTTTTCCGTTATTCCTTTCACACCTTCAGAGCTTACTACATAGTAGCAAAAATTCTGGGGCAGGTGAGGGGCAAAAATAACTCTCAGTGTCCTCAATAACTTTCCGCCATAGCTCGGCATATTTCTGGCAGTGTCCATTACATGATTTGTACGGCTTACCATCAATCTCATCAGTAGTTGATTGGACCAAGTTATTCCAAGTGCTGGAGCAACTGTCCTGGCCATGCGCCTGAAACACAATGTCCGCTTTAACAATGCAAAGTAAATCATAAGTTTAATAAACTATATTTTGAATAGACTGAAAGGTGATAGAAAACTTGTTCCTCTTTCGAGACTCTTTTTTTGGGAGGCTGGGTCTTAGAAGACAGAAGTTATGAAAATAGCCCTTCTAATGGCGAGTCAGTTTTTAGTTTAACATGGTAAAATGCAACTTATGCAAAGCTGTTCAAATGGGATGCATGGCTTTTTGGGCTGTGGATCCGGTTTTGGAAAGGGACATGCAGACTGAGGCTTGGAAAGTGAATTCTGCGTCCATAGACACTGGAAAGGTAGGAGAGAACTTTCTAGGTTTATTGGGAAGGAAGGAAGGAAGGTCTGCTCCTGCAAACCCAATTGTAGCTTTATAGCCACCTTTTGTGACAATGAAGGACCAATCTGGATAGCTCCAGGATTGTTTGGGAGACCTCTCTTATAAACAGCTCTAAAGTGTGAAATGCCTGGCCCCAAAGAAACTGATGCCAGGAAAGGCCCTTAAAAATGTCATATATCCTGTTTCCCCGAAAATAAGACAAGGGTCTTATATCAATTTTTGCTCCAAAAAATTGCAGTAGGGCTTATTTTCAGGGGAGGTTTTATTTTTGTCATGTATAACCATCTACATTTATTCAAATGCAGTCATACCATCTTCTGGTGGCTGCACAAGGGTGGAGTGCGGGGTTTCACTTAACTAGGGCTTATTTTTGGAGTAGGACTTATATTACGAGCATCCTGAAAAATCGTACAAGGGCTTATTTTCAAGTTAGGTCTTATTTTAGGGGAAACAGAGTAGGAATGTACTAGTTGGCTCGCCCAAGGCAAAATGTTAGGGTTAGGCCACATGACATCTTTCTTTGGATATTGAAGGGCGAGTGACCCCTCCCCTGCCATGCATTGTAGGTTTTTCTTCGACTACTCACCCAGAACTACTAGGAACAGAATGCTTCTCCTCCATTGTGTCAGTTACCTAGATTGCAAGAGAGAGAGTTTCCACGGTACATTTTGTGAAAGGGAAGTAACAGGGAAAGAGATTTCGTTACTGGGAGTCATAAATCTTGGGCAGGTTGTACTGCGTCTCTTTTTCCATCCACAGATTAAGGTGCAGCTCTTTGGCCTGAATCCTGTTGGTGAGTTTTGCCAGTGTAAGTGTGATGGTATAAACCAGTGGTTCTTAACCTTTGTTACTCGGGTATTTTTGAACTGCAACTCCCAGAAACCCCAGCCAGCACCGTTAGTGGTGAAGGCTTCTGGGAGTTGCCGTCCAAAACTCCTGAGTAACCCAAGGTTAAGAACCAGTGGTATAAACCACAGCAGTGAATTTCTGTTAGTGAACTAGTTGCCACTTATATCCCATCTAGTGCACCAGCTCACATAACTGGTATTGACTTGTTTACTAACAGTAGTTTGCCACTGCCGTCTATGCCCTTGGACTTATGCCAGTGTAACTGACCAACAGGATTTTGGCCTTTGCCACGTAATGCCACTTGGTGGTGGGAGAGGAGAAACCAAGTATATCAGACTGCTGGGAATGTACTGGAAAAAAAAAGCTCTTCACACCCTCATGCTCATTTTGGTAATAAGAATCAGCCCCTTTTACTACAAGTAACAGATGCATAAAGCCAGTGCAGTCTCTGAGATTTCTCAGTCCTGCCACTCTCAGAAGGATGCTTTATGAGCATGCATAGCTGGGAAAAGTAACATTTTTAGACCTCAGCCAGTGCCCATGTTTTTTAACCACAACTCAATGAGTTGTGGTTAAAAAAAAACACTTTTCAAAGCTCTGATTAACTACAGTGCAGCACATAACCAAAAATCCCTGTAGGTGCCTATCACTTTATTAAAATCAGTGACTGCAGTTGCTCAGGCTCAACAAATTTGTTCGTTGTACCTGATTAATGCACACGATGGGGATCCGGAACTTGCTGCTTAATCTGTGGAATATTCCTCCAAACATTTGCAAGTATTTGGCTTTCAGGGCAGAATCTTTAGCGCCAAATTCACATCTGAATAAGGCAGCAATGGAATCAACGACAACCAGCCCCACCATGCCTCTCGAGAGCAGTACGTTAATCCTCTTACTAATGCAGTCCTGGAAAGCGTCCTGCAATCAGAAGAGACATTGAAAAGCAGATTGAGGAGGAAGACATTAAGAGCAACATTGTCTGAAAGGCTTTTTTCTGGAACATGCCTGAGTCGGCTGCACATTAAGCAACAGTGGTAATTATGTCACCCTTAGGCAGGTTGTATTTTCTTTTGCTTGTGATGCCAACAGAACAACTCACTGGTATAGTGATTGAGAAGTGACTTATTGGCTCAGCAAACCGAGCAGGGATTAGATTATAATGCCTCAAATCCTCTGCACATTAATTTGGAACTAAGCGCCACTGAAGCTCATTGCATATATAATAGGATTGCACTGCTCAACACATGATTGTTACTGAGGCTGCCTACTTTGAATCAAGCACAATCTGGCCAAGAAATGCACCAGATACTGAGAGGAAAGGACACAAGAAGTTCACCTTTACCAAGAGGACCTAATCATGTCTATTGTAAGAGTGATTGCACCCACCTCTGGTGTATTTTAGGCAGGGGTCACTTCCTGCCCTATTGTATTTTTAATTAGAAAGACTGGAGACCAAAACTGATGACATTTTTTAAATACTTGGAAGATAGTCATACAGAGGAGAGGCAGGATCTGGTCTTGATCATCCCAGAGTGCAGGACACGCAATAATGGGATCACGCTACAAGAAGCCAGATTTAGGCTGAATATCAGGGAAAATGTCTTAACTGTTCAAGTAGTACAACAATGGAACCAATAACCTCGGGAGGTGGTGAGCATTCCAGTGTGGGAGGCATTCAGGGAAATATTGGACAAGCATCTGGCAGATCTGCTTTGATTTGGATTCTTGCATTCAGTAAGGGGTTGGACCCAATGGCCTTATAGGCCCCTTCCAATTCAATTATTCTATGATTCTAACATAGCATCTGTTCTATGCAACATTTGCGTCACTCCTGAGCTACAAGATTAGGCATCCTTCAGTCTCGAGAGACTATGGTAACATGCTCTGAATCGAAGACTTGGAACAGTGCTTAGTGTGGCTGAGAAGGCCAATTCAAGAGTGAGCTACAAGTGATCTTGAATATGATTCTCAGTTTTAGAGGAAGTATGGATTTTGTCCTGTTCTGATGGGAACACATGCTACTTATTTACAGCGTTATTAACCTGCTCTTCAGTGGAAGAGGTTACTAAAACAGATAACACACGGTCACATTAAGACAGCAATCCAAAAGGTTCCAAGTAAAGACACACAAGAATAGGAGGTGAAGAGGAAAATAAGCACATTCAACCTTTAGTTCTCAAAAGGTAGCACACATTCTTATAAATGCAGCTCATATGTCCAATCACTGAAGTCCCCAAACAAAACAAAGCAGCTTTCTTTGGGTTGCAGAGTCATTTGAACAGAGAAGACAGCATTTGCTTTCCAATCACTGGACAGAAGAGTTTCCCTATGAATGTAGACACTGTTGTGGTCCTAAAATCATCACCCAGAGGATGCCCTAATCGGGCAGAGAGCAACCAAAAGTTACCAGGAGGCTAATGCCCATTTGGAACCTATAAGCAGAGATTTAAATGGGAGGTCCCAATCTCACTAAGATTAATCATGGTCTAATAAAGCCAACTGAAAACACTGGGGGCTTGAATTAATATTGAGTTGCAATTTCCATTGAAAAAAGTGCAACAAAAATCATGACCATTATGTGTTGGAGCAGAGCTGAGAGTCATACAGTACAAACAGAATTAAGGAAATAAGTGAGTTTCTCTGTGGTTCACGTCTTCCTCTTAAGACTGATGTAATTGTTTTTTCCCCTTAGTTACGGATTCAATAAGTTAAATGAATTGTTTAAGGCAAAGGTAAAGGTTCCCCTTGACATTTAGTCCAGTCGTGTCCAACTCTAGGGCACGGCGCTCATCCCTGTCTCCAAGCC